GCCGGGCCGAAGAGACCGGAGCTGGACACCGGAGCGTCGAGAAACCTCGTTTTGTCGGCATCCTTGATCTCGGTGAGGTTAAGCCACAGGTGGCGCTCGAGCACGACCAAACTAGCCATGTTTCTGCCGATGGCTTGTGCTGTAGACTTAGTAGCCCGCAGCGCTAAGTCCGTAGCACTCCTCAGGTCCCGAAACGTCTCCGGGTCCGGGCCAGCCTCGTCCATGGACCGGAGGAGTTTGGCCTGGTAGACCTGCAACACGGCCATCGTGTGCAGGGCCGATGCAGCCTGGCCGGAGGCGGCGTACGCGCGTCCAGCGAGGGCTGAGGTGTTACGGCAGGGTTTGTTGGGATGAGCGGCTCTAGCTCGCCAGCTAACTGCAGAGCTCGGGCAAAGATGAGCTGCCACGGCCTCTTCGAGGGGCGGCAAAGACTCATAACCCTTTTCCGCTGCGCCATCCACGGAGGAGAGCGTCGCGGAAACTGCGGATCCCACACGTGCTGAGTATGGAGCGCGCCAGGCCTTGGTTAGCTCCTCGTGGACCTCGGGGAAAAATGGCGCCGATTTGTGACGCGGGGCCTGCTGGCGCCCCTCCAGAAACCATCCATCCAGCCGACTACGAGGCGGCTCCTCGGGCGAGGCCCACTCGAGGTCGAGGTCCGCGACGGCCTTCGTCAGGATCCGAAGCATCTCGGCGTCGGAGTTCGTCCTGGTCGCTAATCCGCTGGCCACCGATTGAGAAGCGGCGACGGGGTCGAGAGAGCCCGGCCACTCGTCCTCAGAAGCGGCGATGGATAAGCTGTCGTCGCGCTCGAGAGATCCGCCGAAGGAGACGAGGCCCGCCACGTGAGGGGGGGGGGGGGGCGCTGGTCTCCTGCGAACAGGACCGGTGATGGCGTTTGAGTCGGAGAAAGTGAAGCACGCGGGGACGCGGCCGGCGTGCGTTCACAAATCTCCATACCCTCCGGTTGCCGTTGGCTGCGACGCTTCTTCTTCCTTGGAACGGAAAGCAGGGATGAAGCGGCGTCGCCGTCCCGGGAGAGAGCTAGCCGATTGCGCAGCGCGGATATAGGCATGCAGTCACAGGCCTCAGATCCGCCGGCAGAGAGAGCATTCTCTGCGTGGTCGATCCCCAGGCAGGAAATGCAGCTCGTGTGCTGGTCTGCCTCGTGCAGACGGCCTCCGCACGTGGCGCAGGATGGACGAGGCATACTGAAAAGAATGTTAGCAATATAGAACAAAGGATATAATGTCGCCGGATAGCCACAGGTGAGACGGCGTCAGGAGAAATCGACGTGCAGGCGAAGTCTGCTGAAGAGAAGCACGCTCAGGCTGAAAGGCTTGTTCGACGGCGAATGCTACAGTAAAAAGCTCAGGGACATGTGTACTGTCGCTGAAGGAGTAAAATCTGCCAGAATGGCGAATTCGGGGGTCTATATAGGCAGGGCACGCCCCCTCGGCGGGCTCTGACGTTGGGCTAGCTTATTCGTTGTGCCTCAGAGTCGCCCGTGCCATTGGATGTGCAGTTGCTGCAGCACAGCCTATGAGCGGGTCAGACGCTCAGGGGGCTGGCTGTGCAGCTGCAAATGCGTTTTACATATAAGCTTCAGTAAATCGAGGAAAGGGAGTTTCCCCACTGCGTATAGCTACGCAATACGAAGTGACCGTTCGAAAGGGAACCATTGACTTCCATTGTATTTTCCCTATACCGGAAGTCAATGTGTGCCGTCAACTGTCTGGTTACAAACATTCTTTAAAATATCATATTTTGTGTTCGGCAGAAGAAAGAAACTCACACAGGTTTGAAACAATTTAAGTAAATGAGGACATAATTTAAATTTTTGGGTATATCGCTTTAAAATGATTATGACTGATATGTTTATGGATATTGTCTTCACCTGGTGTTCAGATGAGAACTGTATTGTACAGATGATATTCAAATTACAGAGAATCGCAGGGTTTATTTTCTGAAATAATTGGGAAAATCCCACTGGAATTTTGTCAAGGAATCCAGGGTGATGCTAACTTCGTTAAATTAATAACTATGCGTTTTGGATTAGAAACATGATATTGATTATGATATTAACACAGATGGGACATACATAGACTACTTGGTTTAAATAAACGAAACGAATACATTTAAATACTGTATATTTATAATTAGTGTGTTTGAATTAGATGTGTACTGTGTTCCCTACAAAAAAATACAGTGAAAGAGGCACTTTGCTTGAAATCTTTGACATACTGATTTGGTAAAGTTTGTAAAGCCATTTTCAAAACCACGATCTGATTGGACAGTTTGTTGTCATCCAGTTTCTGTTCTGCAGATTTGAGTTTGCAATGAAGACACACATTCAAGCAACTAATTCACATGAAGACTATATGTGTGAGGGATAAGATGATCTCTGTCATTCCTTTAGTGCTTCTTACTGAGTCATAAACATACACAAACACATATGATGTCTCTATGGTGTCTCTATGTCACGTTTGTTTTCGAGTGATTCTGAGTCACTCACTTTTAAAAATAGCAAAATGTAAAAATGCTATACGTATGAAATTAGGTATAGGCCTACTCGAGTTATGGCCAGTATAAGTGAAGAAGATCGTCTCCAAGACTATCTGAGAAATGCACACGGATATCAGCATCATGTTCTGTACGCAGTGACAACACTTATCCTTATACATTTAGTTAGGTATAGATCAGTGTCTGAGTGAGAAGGGACTTCATGATAGAAAATGTGGTCGTAGTCGGTGTAGGACCATGTATTTTGTTCAAATCTACAGTATGAACTGGAAGAGCTGTGCAGTTTCACAAAGCCTTCATTATAATGCATGGAATGAAAAAATAAAACATTAGACGACCATATCTTGCAATCCCTTAAGTTATTGTTTTGTTAAATTAAGCTGGTCTAAGGCTAACACACCCAACAACATAAAACGAAATGTATTGGTTGATTATCCACGGCTGGAGAGTCAGGTATGAATTATGAATTAAATGATTCGTGAAATGTTATAACTTCATATCACCATAGTTTCAGTATGACACGCTTGTCATTTAAAGACCATAGACTGTGTTAAAGATCCACTGGATGGCGCCATTTCTCAATCCACTGAACTATTTGTCATTATATTTGTTGGTATTGTGTTTCTAATGACAAAAGTACGCTTTGTTTGTCGAAAAGTTCCTCCAACTAGTTGTTTGTTGTTGTCACCACTCACTCTTATTCATCTCCATTAGTCATGGATTTCCAACTTGAGCTAGTATTTTCTCAGAAACTTGGAGGATCTGAAACCAAAAAACATGACCCTTCAATTTTATGCGTGACCGACAGTATTCTTCATACACGGCTGCACTACTCGACAGTCACCGATGCTTGACACTTTACCTAAAAAACTATCAGTTCGCTTGGCTGAGACATAGTAATTGTGTAAAAATGTACATAGGCTACTACTAACAGAAAGTCCAACAAATACTGAGTCATTCCGGCTTACAGCATGGTGAAATCTGGAAGTTTTTCCTAATAGGGTGTTTTTGTCGCAACAAAAGGCACACAATAAGTGTGAGAAAGCAGAAGAAACTTCACGAGTGAGCTCGAGCTGTGTGTGTTTGGACTTCAGACTAATGAAGTGCGACCACCTGATTCGACAGACAGGAATAAGGGGCTCAAGTTTATTTACGATTGTCTGGGTGTGACCCTGTTTTTTTTTTTTTTTTTTTTTGTTGAGAGGTAAGTTTCCATAACTTGATTTTTGATAAATAACGGTTTTGTCGGTATACCCTGTGGGAAAAATCCCATTTTTTCAGATTCGATCGCTATGCAGACAGTCGAGACAGATCAGCATTGTACGACTAGTTGTGTTTAGTTTCAGATATCTAAATTGAACCATAACCGCTATTGAAGTGAACGAGAATGCTAATCTCTGTGGTATAGACTATTAGTTTGTGCGTTCATTTACTTGATTTAACACTATTCTAAAGGAAAAGATGTAAGGTAAAAAAAAAAAAAAAATCCCTTAATGTTTCTTAGAAAAACAGGATTTCCATGCATGCAAGTTTTAAGAGGAAACAGCTGTTTGGGGTTCATAAAAGTTCATAGATACTTTTCAAACTAAAATCAGAACGCTCTTCTGATTTAATGACAAATAAGTCCGTCCACGATTAAGGATTCTCTCTCTCTCTCTCTCTCTCTCTCTCTCTCTCTCTCTCTCTCTCTCTCTCTCTCTCTCTCTCTCTCTCTCTCTCTCTCTCTCTCTGTGTGTGTGTGTGTGTGTGTGTCTGTGTGCATCCTTGTCAAAAGAATTAATAAAAATGGGACTACCAAAAAATGGGAAAATTTTTAGTGGTCTTTTAACGGTGTTTTTAACCACAAACCACTGGTCAGGAAATTAGCAAGAATTGCACAAATACTGTAAAGTAATTTTACAACGGAATAGCCTTTCCCAACTTACAGACAGCTCTTTTTGCTGGAGTCAGTGTTGTACCACTTAACGTTAATGGCTTCAAACATTTCACGAGTAGTTGAAAAATGTCTGCTAGTTCATTTGAGTTCAATATGAGACCAAATATTCACTATAGGGTTCAAATCTGGACTCTGACCAAGGCCAAAACATGAGCCTGATGGACTTGTTCTCAAACCAGTTCTTGGTTGTCTGATGCAGTTTGGGCAGCGGCATCGTCTTGTTGAAACATAACATCTGATCATTCCTCTTTCAATAAGAACTTTTCATTTGTGGGAAGCAGCAAGTCATTCTACAATATTCTCCTGTACAAAGCATTAAATTACGTTTCACAATGAAGTAGCTAACCAATACCAGCAGCTAAAAAGCCTCCTTTTCCTCCATGATTCACTGTGGTAGACATGCATTTATTATTATATTCCTCAGTAGATTCACCATGCAACTCATGTTTCATTGTGATTCATCACTCCACACACAACTTCCCATATTCTGCCAAAAACTCAAGAAATTTGCTCGAATTTCCTTATTTCCTTGCCATTTTTTTTGCCCAGGAGTGCTATGTATATTGCATTATCAGCATTTATAGATCAGCATTTAGGATGACAGTTGTATAACATTGACTTTATGCCAGATATGTATTACAGACCTTATGCCAGCCCCTTCTGAGGAGCAGCAGTGCCTCTAAAATGAGTTTCCATGAAAAGAGCGAGGAAGGAGTTTCTGTTCAGGCTAAAAGTGCAGGAACTCCAGGACCCAGCTGTGTGTCTATGAAGAGTGACGTATCTATGGGCATGCCACCTGAATTCAGCGGGCAAGCAGTGACCTCTGACCCCAAGTGAGAAACAAAATTAAATCATAATAATTTATACAGTACAGACGGATAAACATAGGCACACTTCCTTTCCATAGTCTATCTGTAAGCATATTCACAAAGCTTTAGCATGTGGCTGTGTAATAAAGCTGCCGTCGGCAAATTTTTTTTGATCATATTCAGTGAAATCGACACTATAATCTGACAGAACAACATAAATAAAGTGGTTTTAGAAAAAATCCACCGCTCCCGGATCATCGGGTCCAATCAGCGCAGGGCGGTGTGAGATCGCCTGAAGTTCGCGCAGTAACGAAGAGTGATGGCGGAACACTAACAAATCAAGTAAGCCCATTTACAGTATAAATGACGTTAGCAATTGCAATCTATCGGTAGATTAGCCAGGGTAGCATACCTCCAAATACTCCATGGTGTTGATGGATGCTGATGAAACGGGCGCGTTCACTGAAAATCTGGTGCACACGCACTCGAGCATGAACTCGGCGGGAGGGTATTCTTTGATAGTGGGGGAGGGGCATGAGAGTTGTAAACATTCAAAATTTTGCCTAAGTCCACTCAATCTGCCAGACTTGCCGACTGCAGCTTTAATGAAAAGTGACAGTCCAATGAAAAACCTGATACAACATTGGCAACGTTTACATGCAACCAAATAATCCGTTAGTAATCGGATTGACGGCTCAATCGGACTGAAAAGCATTCATGTAAACACCTTAATCGATCCGGTTGAGCTTGATCCGAATGAAATTTCGATCCAATCGAAAGGGGTGGTTTATTCCTTTTCTAATCCGATCGTGAGAACATGTAAACACTTGATCAGATTAAAAACCGAAAATGATAGGATTGTGAATGCGTAATAGCATAATGACGTATGTCGTTGCGAACGAGCTGTTTCTCCTGTTGAATAAAGTGTCATATAAATGAGGTCCCGTCATTCCAAAATTCTTCTTTCACTGCGTCTGTGAAGTGGAGCAGGACAACGTCCCACCAGTCTTTGTATTGGATTCTCATCCACAGACAACTGGTTTTGAGTGATAAATGCAAGCAGCGCGGCAAAAAGGTTCATATGCTCATTGTCTCCAAATTATGACCAGAGACGGATATTAAGTCTGTTGTTTAAAACTAATTTGGAGAATGGTTATTATGCGCAAACAGCGGGAAACTCTGTATATTCGTGCAGGGTGCGCATGTCAAAATCAATTCCGATTTAAAGCTTGTGACATAAACGCGCACATCAACTTCAACTACGATCACTTTATTTAGTGTTCATGTAAACACTACGTTCGGATTCATCAATCGGAATGAATTCAGTCCGATTGAAACAAAAGGTGTGCATGTAAGGCAAGTATGCAAATATGATTAGCTCACACTCACACTTTGGTAACACTTTACTTGAAGGGGTGTGCATAAGACTAACATGACACCTTCATAATCATGACATGACACATGTTATGAATATAAAGGAAGTTTTATGCATGTTTGTGACAACTGTCATTAAGTGTCATTCGCTCAATTATGACATTTTTAATGCAAATATGACATTGTTTGAGATGTCTTTGTTATGACACCTTGACATAAACAAATACATCATAACCTGTCAGTGTCTTTGTCATGACAACTTAACATTACTAAGACAACACAATCTGTCATAAACATGACATAGCAGATTAATTATCAAAAATAAGAAACCACTTAGCTTTATTGGTTAACATTACATTAAACTGTCAGGTGTCTGGTTTTGACATTGGCTATCATGAAGCCATTATAACTGTTTAATGACAAATTCAATTTGTACCACTGTAGTTGAGGTCACGAAAAATATTCATGACACAGTTATAATGGCCTCATGACAGCCAATGTCAAAACCAACCACATGACAGTTTAACTTAATTTAATGTCAAGTTGTCATGACAAAGACACTGACAGGTTATGATGTTATGGTTTATGTCAAGGTGTCATAACAAAGACATCTTAAACAATGTCATATTTGCATTCAAAATGTCATAATTGAGCGAAAGACACTTAATGACAGTTGTCATAAACATGCAAAAACCCTACTTCATATTCATGACATATGTCATGTCATGGTTATGAAGGTGTCATGTCAGTCTTATGTACACCCCTTCAAGTAAAGTGTTACCCACACTTTTAAGTGCATGCGATGTTACCAGATAACACATCTAAAGTCTCTCTGCAGGGATTTGCTCCAGGTTCGTTCCACATGTGGAGTGTGTGAGCAGGTTCTGAGAGATCCAGTCTCGATTTCCTGTAGACATAGTTTCTGCAAAACGTGTATCAGCTGCTACTGGACTAAGTCCAGTCCATCAGAAGACTTTGACTGTCCTCAGTGCAGGAAGAGATCTAGAACACGGCCCATTCTACAAACAGATAAAGTCTCGGGAGGATCCAGATCTGCTGGTTCTGCTCTTTGTTACACAAAAGCAGCCTGGCTGAAGGAGTCTAAAAACCTGCAGCCGGTGGTGGATGATGTCCTGCAGAGAGTCAAAGAGAGACACAAAACCAGCATGAGGAACAAGTATGAGAACTTATTTGAGGGAATCAGACGACAGGAGAATCAAACCCTCCTGAATAGGATCTACACACAGCTCTATATCATAGAGGGAGAGAGTGAAGGGGTGAATGAAGAACATGAAGTGTTACAGATGGAGAAAACACCCAGGACACAACATTCACAAGACACTCAAATCCACTGCAATGACATCTTTAAATCCTTAACTGAACTAGGATGTGAGGGGAATGACACAATAAAGACTGTTCTTACTAAAGGCGTTGCTGGAATTGGAAAAACAGTGTCTGTGCAGAAATTCATTCTGGACTGGGCTGAAGGAAAAGCTAATCAGGATGTTGATTTCATGTTTGTGCTTCCATTTCGAGAGTTGAACTTGATTAAAGATCATCAGTACAGTATTCGCAAACTTCTGCTCGACTTTCTTCCTGAACTTCAAGATGTGGACTCAAAGATTTATGATGAATGTAAAATGGTGTTCATCTTTGATGGTCTGGATGAAAGCCGAATTACACTGACGTTTTCAGACGGACAGAAAGTTTCTGATGTGAATGAGTCTTCATCAGTGGGTGTGTTGATGTCAAATCTCATTAGAGGAGAGCTGCTTTCATCTGCTCTCATCTGGATCACCTCCAGACCAGCAGCGGCCAATCAGATCCCTTCAGATTGCATTAACCGGGTGACAGAAATTCAGGGATTCAATGACCCTCAGAAGGAGGAATATTTCCGGAAGAGGATCAGCGATCAGCATCAAGCCAGCAGAATTATCTCACACATCAGAAGATCAAGAAGCCTCCACATCATGTGCCACATACCCGTCTTCTGCTGGATCTCATCCACTGTGCTTCAGAACATCCTGAAACAAGACGACAGTGCAGAAATCCCTCAAACTCTGACTGAAATGTACATCCACTTCTTGATCATTCAGATAAACATCAGGAATCAGAAGTATGATGAGAGAGATCCGGGAAGACTCCTGGAGAGCAACAGGGAAGTGATTTTGAGACTTGCGGAACTTGCTTTCGAACAGCTCAAGAAGGGCAACATCATGTTCTATGAGGAGGATCTGAGGGAATGCGGGATAGATGTCATTGACGCCTCAGTGTATTCTGGGATTTGCACTGAGATATTTAAAGAAGAGTCTGTGATTCATCAGAGGAAAGTCTATTGCTTCGTGCATTTGAGCTTTCAGGAGTTTCTGGCGGCTGTTTACGTGTTTTATTGTTATGTAATTAACACTGTGGGGGCACTAAGGTTTTTTGATTCCCTGCATAATTTGCTCAGAGGAGCTGTAGATAAAGCCTTAGAAAGCGAGAATGGACACCTGGATCTTTTCCTCCGGTTCCTGCTGGGCATCTCACTGGAGTCCAATCAGAAACTCTTAAAGGATCTACTGACTAACACTCACAGCTGTTCAAGGAGCATTGAGAAAACAACTGCTTGTATTAAAGACAAAATTAAACATGGACATAATCTTTCAGCTGATAGATCCATCAATCTTTATCTTTGTCTCTTTGAAATGAAAGATCAGACTCTGTACAGAGAGATCCAGGAGTTTCTGAAATCAGACAAATACTCAGAGAAGAAACTCTCTTCTGCACTTTGCTCAACAATCGCCTACATGTTTCAGATGTCAGACGAGGTGCTGGAGGAGCTTAATCCCAAGACATTTAATACATCGGAAGAAGGTCGAAGAAAACTCTTACCAGCTGTGAAGAACTGCAGAAAAGCTCTGTGAGTGTTAAATTATCATATTACTTAATTGAATGTTTTTTTTTATATAATTTGCATAAATTTACATTTTACAACTTTGCAGATTTTCCCTTATTAAACTCTACTAAGACTTAAATCTCTGCCAGTCTTAAAAGTTATCAAGTTGTTTTGAGTGAGCTTGTGAGATGTGGCTACTGTAGTAGGCTGAGAGTTTGGGGTGTGGCTACTGTAGCAGGCGGAGAGTTTGGGGGCGTGGCTACTGTAGCAGGCGGAGAGTTTGGGGTGTGGCTACTGTAGCAGGCGGAGAGTTTGGGGGCGTGGCTACTGTAGCAGGCGGAGAGTTTGGGGGTGTGGCTACTGTAGCAGGCGGAGAGTTTGGGGGCGTGGCTACTGTAGCAGGCGGAGAGTTTGGGGGTGTGGCTACTGTAGCAGGCTGAGAGTTTGGGGGTGTGGCTACTGTAGCAGGCTGAGAGTTTGGGGGTGTGGCTACTGTAGCAGGAGGAGAGTTTGGGGGTGAGGCTACTGTAGCAGGCTGAGAGTTTGGGATGTGGCTACTGTAGCAGGAGGAGAGTTTGGGGCGTGGCTACTGTAGCAGGCGGAGAGTTTGGGGGTGTGGCTACTGTAGCAGGCTGAGAGTTTGGGGGTGTGGCTACTGTAGCAGGAGGAGAGTTTGGGGGTGTGGCTACTGTAGCAGGCTGAGAGTTTGGGGGTGTGGCTACTGTAGCAGGAGGAGAGTTTGGGGGTGTGGCTACTGTAGCAGGCTGAGAGTTTGGGATGTGGCTACTGTAGCAGGCGGAGAGTTTGGGATGTGGCTACTGTAGCAGGCGGAGAGTTTGGGGGTGTGGCTACTGTAGCAGGCTGAGAGTTTGGGATGTGGCTACTGTAGCAGGCGGAGAGTTTGGGGTGTGGCTACTGTAGCAGGCTGAGAGTTTGGGGGTGTGGCTACTGTAGCAGGCGGAGAGTTTGGGGTGTGGCTACTGTAGCAGGCTGAGAGTTTGGGGGTGTGGCTACTGTAGCAGGCTGAGAGTTTGGGGGTGTGGCTACTGTAGCAGGCTGAGAGTTTGGGGTGTGGCTACTGTAGCAGGCTGAGAGTTTGGGGTGTGGCTACTGTAGCAGGCTGAGAGTTTGGGGGTGTGGCTACTGTAGCAGGCTGAGAGTTTGGGATGTGGCTACTGTAGCAGGCGGAGAGTTTGGGGTGTGGCTACTGTAGCAGGTGGAGAGTTTGGGGCATGGCTACTTTAGCATGCTTAGAGTTTGGGGTGTTGCTACTGTAGTAGGCTGAGAGTTTGGGGGTGTGGCTACTGTAGCAGGCAGATAGTTTTGGCCATGGCTACTGTAATAGGGGGAGAGTTTGGGATGTGGAGGTGGAGAGTTTGGGGCGTGGCTACTGTAACAGGCAGATAGTTTTGGGTGTGGCTACTGTAGTAGGCTGGGTGTTTGGGGTGTGGCTACTGTAGCAGGCAGATAGTTTTGGGCATAGCTACTGTAGTAGGTGGAGAGTTTGGGGCGTGGCTACTGTAACAGGCAGATAGTTTTGGATGTGGCTGGCTACTGTAGTAGGCTGGGTGTTTGGGGTGTGGCTACTGTAACAGGCAGATAGTTTTGGGCATAGCTACTGTAGTAGATGGAGAGTTTGGGGCGTGTTTACTGTAGCAGGCGGTCTATAGCCGTGTTTAGCCGGTGTAGGACCACGATTGACATGTTACATGGGAAAAGACATTCTGCTTCGGTTACAAAAGTGCAAGCCAAAATTTCTTGAGTTTAGACCTTCAAAAGTTAAATAGGTGATGAATTTGAAATGTGTTTTGTTCTCTTATAGTCTTGCTGACTGTAATCTCACTGATAAATCTTGTGAGATTGTGGCCTCAGCTCTACAGTCATCAAACTCAGTACTGAGAGAGCTGGACCTGAGTAACAATGACCTGCAGGATGCAGGAGTGAAGCTTCTCTCTGATGGACTGAAGAGTCCAAACTGTCAACTAGAGAAACTGAGGTTTCTAAGAGTTTTTTACAGTTAAATTATAAAAAAAAAAAAAAAATCCTGTGTGAAAGTTACATGTAAGCTGTCCATATGGTTCCAGACACAGTCACTTTTAATATCTGGTCTAATACTATATGTAAATTACCACATGTACAACAGTTCTAAAAAACTGTCTTAAACTGTTCTAAAAACAGTGTGTGTGTATGTGTGTGTTTGAAGATTATCTGACTTTTGATATGCATGTTTAGATTATCTGGCTGTATGGTGACAGAGGAAGGCTGTTGTTGTTTGGCCTCAGCTCTGAGTTCAAACCCAACACACCTGAGAGAGTTGGATCTGAGCTACAATTGCCCAGGACACTCCGGAGTCAAGATGCTCTCGGATCGACTGAACCACCCAGACTGCACACTGGAGATACTCAAGTATGTAGACCTGAAATTGTGTAGAGTACATTAGGGGTGTATATCACTAAATTATGCAATTTTTGCCGATACCACAACACATGCCATGATAGGATAACCGATTTAATTAGATTCAGGGGTATATTGATCAATATATCGATAATACAATATTATGTGTCTATTTTACAGTTTTTTTTCAGTTTTTTTTTATTAACTTACAAATGCAACCAAAACACATAACATGAACATTTAACTGAAATGTGCAAATCATTGGGACATCCACAACAAAAAATACACTTTAGTTTTTTTTAATATAGAAAAACAGAGGGGGAAAAAGCAATAACAAGTGTCAACATGCAAACTCTGGACAAGTGATAGAAGGTGGTGGTGAAGACCATTTTTACATGCCTTCTTCTGTGTTGTTTAGTTTGGACCACAGAGAGTCCTTCAGGATCACACCAGGACTGCGGAAATGTAGGTTCTCGCTCTGACACACACTTCATGCACATTCAGTTTTTTTCAGTTCAATATTATTGTGCTTTTATTGCTCAAATTATCCAAAAGTAGTCATAGAAGACCAAAGTGCCAAAGACAAATATGACAAAATCAAAGATCTTTAGTGATATCACTGATGTTTTAATCTCTCTTCAGATTCCTGTCATCTCGCATTCGATCAAAACACAGTGAACACTCATCTCATTCTGTCTGAGAACAACAAAAAGGCAACATATTTGGAAGAGGAGCAGCCTTATCCTGATCATCCAGAAAGATTTGAGCATTACGAGCAGGTTCTGTGTGGAGAGAGTCTGACTGGACGCTGTTACTGGGAGGCTGAATGGAGTGGCTGGAGTCATATAGCAGTCACATATCGAGGTATCAACAGGAAAGGAGGGAGCGACTGCAGGTTTGGACTCAACGAAAAGTCCTGGAGTCTGGTCTGCTCTGGTAAAAATTACTATGCCAGGCATAATAATGCAAGAACTGACGTACCCGCACCCTCGTCATGTTCTCACATTATAGGAGTGTACCTAGATCAGCCAGCTGGCTCTTTGTCTTTTTACAGTGTTTCCTCTGAAACAGGCAAAATGATTCACATTTACACCTTCCACTGCACATTCACTGAGCCCCTCTATGCAGGATTTGGTGTTGGGGTTGACAGCGGCTCTTCAGTGTGTTTATGTGAAATGCAGAAGATGTGAGGCAGGTGTGTCAAACATCCAGACCGCGGGCCAAATACAGCCTGTGGAGGATTTTTTTTTTTAATCACGCAACATTTGTGCTAAAATATGCTTAAATTATTTATTTATTATGTTAGTGTGATATTTAATCTGTGTGCCATACACAAAGAAACTCTGGTTATTTATATTATTATAAATGGCATATTTCAGAGAGAGTTCAATGCTTGAGAAGTGTTTTCTACCAGTGCATAACTTACATTTGACTGTTATATTCTTAATTGGAAATAAGTGAATATAAATAATAACTTTGTGCTGGTATATCTATTTTGCATCCTAAGTCTGTTAAACATTATTTTATATATTTATGTCAAACAGAAACAGAGAAAGGCAGTGCAATAATGTTAACTATTTCTTGTTGGAGGTTACATGTAGTTAATATAATATCATTGGATTACTACTGTTAGTTAGAAGTGTCTTAAATTTACAGAGAAAGTAAATGTCATAGTAAAGTTTTTTCCTGATCACCATTTTGTATATAAACAATAAGAACATGAGTAGACAATGTCTGTCTTTCTTTGATCATGTGTTGCACTGTGGATCTAGGTGAAAAACATAGGCTAGCACCCACTTTAATGTCTTTAATTTCCTTTAACAATGTCTAAAGATCTATAAAATCATTAAGATATATGGTGTCCTATATATATGTATATATATATAGCCTATATATAAACACACAGAGACATGTGTGCGCACACACGTCCATTTTAAAACCATGTGTTCTTCTTATTTCTCTCTTTACAAGTTTATAATAAAAAACATTCATAGCACATGCCAGACCACCATGATCTTCTACATTGCATTTATTAAAGAAACGTTGCCATACTTTTAAGAAACCAAGAATTTATAGCTCATATTGAAAATTACTTCGGCATATTAGTGCCAAAATATAATATATGTTGTATTTCAGGTGCACATGACATGGATTCTTATCTGACATTTAAATATGCCTTAAAAATGCTTTAAATTATAATAATAATAATACAAGTTATTCAAGTAATTATAAATAATTGTGATTGGTTTAACCTGTCTAGCGTTGAGAAAAGTAACAAGTCAAGTTTAAGCAGCGATCGGGATAAAAAATACATTTGATGAAAAGCACCGACAAACTTTAATAGCCTTTAAAATACACAGTAAATAATTAATATAATTATTGTTGTAACCAACCACACTTGACCTGAAAGAGTGATGGAGACTTTTATTTTAAAACACGTCTCCCGGAAGCTATTACAGTCTCTGAGAGAAATCCTGACAGCTCTGAGTTTCCAGTACAGCCACTGCAGTGTCTCACAGTTTACTAACTTCATCATGACCGATTCTTTGCTTCGCTGGACTGTTGATAAGTTAAAGCATTGTTTTGGATTAGAGGCTAGCGACGACATTGTACAGTAAGTACATTTTAGTAGATGTGTATGCCTCTGGAGGATGAATTGTACGCGAGTCTGTCTAATGTCAATTGTATAATTGTTGTAGCTAAAATATAAATGACAGAACTGACAATCCAGAAATTGTGTACAAATTCGTCTATATATGTAACTTAAGTCCTTTCATGTATAACGAACAGAGATAACTTGGTGGGCCGCACTCTCTTGTGCAAAATGGTAACTTACCATGTTTTTTGACATCGTACTTCCAATAATACGATGGCACGACAAAAGTACATGGAAACACCATGATTATGTCATTTAGTCCCATACTGCTACATAACTTTATTATTACCATGTGTGAAAGATATGTTATGTGAAATGTATGTGGTGATTAATAAACACATGACAGACATTACATAAGATTCTTTATTTTGTGATGTGTTTGGGCATCCAGTATCCAAACAGAAAACAGTCTTTGTGGAAATAAGTGAGAAGAAACATATATGTCGGCCCACATTTGGTATACATGGATTCCACACGGCTCGGATGTGGGCCGGATCTGGGCCGACACTATGTTGCTGTCTGTGGTGTAAGTCAGTAAAATGGCAGGTTTTTGTTTTGTTTTTCAGGTACATCCTTTCCATTGACAACGCTGATGAAATTGTGGAGTATGTTGGAGATCTCTTACAAGGGACAGAGGGGAAGAAGCAGGAGTTTGTGGATGAGCTGGTGCAGAGATGGCAGAGGTGTCGGACGCAAGAGCCTGATGGTCTGGGAGGCGTCTTCAGGATAGAGCCAGTCATGGGTAAATACAGACACACTGATGTTTTTCAGATTCAATACAATACATTCAATACATTAAGGATAGGAGTTACAGTTTTCATATTGGCCAATAATCTGTATCGGTTTGATAAGGCTAATGTTTTTTTTTTCCAGTTCAAACTATATATTCTTCTTCTGTGTCAGGTTTAAAGTTGGCATGAAATGAAAATTCACCTCTTTTATTTTCATCTAGTTGTTTAAATGCCTGTTATAGATCTTATTGTGAATGATTCATCCATGTATACGTTTCATTTTTTAATATTTCCTTGTAATATTTAATAAAAATTTCATAATTAGACCTTCTGGTGAAAACGGCAGACTTGTCTCTGGCGATGTATGCTAGACTTCTCCGTTAATCTGCTTAAAGCCCTGTAAGGGTTCGATAATTTGATTTGAAATTTGATTTTTTTCATGTGATTTGTCAAAAGACTTTCACTTTTATAAAAATAGATATACAGTGGTATAATATGCTATTTGCTTATCAAGATGCTGAAATACCCTATTTATATTTTATATTTTTTCTTATCTAGGTTATGTTTGTCCCAGTATTTGATTTGCCTTGACTGATATTTGTCATAGTTACATGTATGCATGTATTATGTGTTTTATTCGCAGTGCGATGGAAAAGAGATTCCAACACCTCGCCGTAAAAAATCTGTTGCATTGACAGCATGCAAATATTAATGTTCATTCAAATTAAAAATGTTAACTCCCCAAACATTTGTCTTGGTGTCAACAGGCCTTAAACCCTCCCTCTTCAAGCTGCCGTTTATCTGCCTTCGTTTTGCATGCAACATCAAACCTCAAAATCCAATTAACAACCAATGAATAGAACCAAGTCCCCAATCTACTTTTTTTTTCAATAGGTCACAATACAGAAAAAAAGATTTGTCAACTTTAAAAAGTACTAAACAACACTTCTATATTGCTTGATCACTGCATCCCTGCCAATAATATTGTTATTGCAATGAAAATATATCTGTCGATAAAGTAATATTGTATGAAATATCTGCCCCAGAGGGTCTAGACACTACTCCCAAAGACAACCAGAAGAAGACCAAACGAAAGGGAAGAAACAAGCAAGAGATTGCGACGTCTGTCTGTCAGGCCGAGCCGGAGCTTGTGAAAACCCCCATTGACTTGATGAAGGTACGTCACCTTATTTAAATATCGTAAACTCTCATATATGAAGTTGAACTGGAAAGACTTACAGAGGGATGTACTTGCTGTTATCAGGCTCAGGAGAACAGCGGCTCCAGCTCAGTGAAGAAGAAGAAGAACAAGTTTGTGAATCTGTATGCTAAAGAGGGTGGAGATAAGCTGGCTGTTCTGCTGCCGGGCCGCCAGTCCTGCGAGTGTTTGGCTCAGAAACACAGACTCGTCAACAACTGTCTGAGCTGTGGACGGATAGTGTGTGAGCAAGAGGGGTCCGGGCCCTGTTTGTTCTGCGGCAGTCTGGTGAGCTTGGTCCTCTTACTCATCATCAGTGCGGTCTGTGTTAGTGATTAGCCGCGCTTCCATCGCAGGAACTTTCCCTAGGAACTAGGGACTTTGGGGTGGTACTGTATAGGGCTGTTAGCCTGGATGCCAGCCCGAACCCCGCCCACAACATTTTTTGGTCGGGAAGTTCGGTCTGGACTCGATCCATTGAGGAGTAATTATGATCGGTTCAGAATAAGTCGGGCCAATCAAATTGCCAGGGCGGGCTTTATACGATGATGGACAGATGATCTGCAGTTACGTAATCATCACGTTATCAAAGAGCGCTTGGGTTGAACTGGTTTCCCTCAGAGATGACTGCAGCTGGAGAACTGAGATGTAGAGATTCAGCATCGCGTCTGTTGTAAAAGAAATCGACATTCATTCATTTTAAAAGACGAACAGAGAACTGCAATCAAGGCATTTGTCGATCGTAAAGATGTGTTTGCCGTCCTTCCTACGGGATTCGGCAAAAGTTTAATTTATCAGCTGGCTGCGATGGTCGCTAAGAAGATGGGACGCAATGAAAACCCTGTGGTCGTTGTGGTTTCTCCTTTGGTCGCACTCATGGAGGACCAAGTAAAAGAAGCAACACTCATTATTTTACTACTTCTTCCAGCGTGCGTGTAGTTGAGTTCTGTTGACAATTTGCGTAGTTCATAAAAAAAACACTTAGGCTACTGCGTTGCTCTGATTGGTTGTAGGTCTATCCAATTGAGTGCAGAGTTTTTTTTTTTTTGTCCTGGTTCGGTTAAAGGTGCTCTATGTAACTTTTCTAGTAAAATGAATCCTTTTTTTATCGCCTGTGTGTGAAGGGGTTGTAATCACACATTAAAATGATCCACTTGTCGAGTTTTGCTATTACCTCTGAAGGCCAGTATTCCTATTTCTATGTGAAGTCTCCGGGTCGGATTTACCGCGAAATCCAACGGATGTGACGTGCATGCGCGCTCCCGAGCCTCGCTCCTTATATACAGTCTATTGTAGACGGTCAGGGAGTTACGTCCGGTTAAAGGCGCACGTTTTTCGGCTTATATCTCAGTCAATCTTTGATCAATATTCCCAAGACTCTAATCGTTCGTAGTGCTGGACGGGGCCTTTCGAACGAGCCCACCCCCGAGGTCCAACTCGCCCGGCTCCCCGAGTTATAGCCTTTCGAAATCGGGGGTCCCAGCGAACGGCGATCCGGTAGGGGGCGTCCCCGAGGCCCGCCACTCTAGCGTTCGGGCAAGGGTTCCCCTGGGACCTCCTCCCCCGAATTTGAGCTCTCTGGGTCTTTGCGTTCCAGAGATACGAGCGATTTTCTTCTGAGATCGTGACGTCACCGGCGTCCGCAATTTTGCAGCGCGCCCAATGGTTTTCTGCTAATATCTCCGCGAAAACACCATCAAAAACTATGGAACTTATATGGTTCTTTTTTCAGCTCGACTAGATGGTCCCAACGAGCTCGGTGCTCGCCGAATCCGTCTAGTATTCGCCGAGATATTTGCGTAATAGACGATATTGTCTATGATTTCGAGCACGAGCGCTCTTGTAAAATTTGGTTGCAATCTGAAACATCACCACTAGAGGCCGCTAAAAGTTACATAGAGCACCTTTAAGACACGCCTCATAATCAAAGCCCAATGGAGCAGTATCAGACTCACATTCTGACTAGAATATTAGTATGACGAAGTCAGGCTATAGGGCTGTCACTTAACGTTCGAAAATCGATTGCACAATCGATTGGACCAACCAACACAAGTTTCGAAAACGAAAATAGGGAATCGATTTTAACGGCTGCTTCTCTCCGAGCGCGTCCAGCTCGTCACGACACGCCCGCAGCGAACGCGCGTCACACATCAACTGCAGGCTCTTTGACAAACACACATAACAGCAAACTATACTTCTGCATAATGTGTCTCTTTTTACAACAAAAATGTGAATTCTGCCGGCATTCAGACAGTCTCATGCATACAGATACAGATTCGGGCTACAATCGCCTAAGTAGGTGAAATTTGTTTGACATTTCTAATCGTAAACACAGCCACTCTGCTTATTGTTTTTCGAGAATGTTGCACCCCTGTTCGTCATTAAGCACGAAACTTCACGCCAATAAATCATCAGAAATATTGCTGACTTGTGGCGTCTCAAGCCCTCTTTACGTTCGTCCTATTGCCTGTTAGTTGTCCGTGGATTTGCCTATATTTGGCGTTGAAAATGGAAACGTCTTTAGATGGAAAATTGATTTTACATTCGATTCAATGAACACTTATGTCTCAGAAATCGAACAGGATTTTTTCAAAAAGTGACAGCCCTAGTACTGTGTGTGTTTACACCGCAGGAATCAGGGTCTAAATTAAGTTCCGGGTCAATATTTCCCCCTCAGAAAGTCCCTGCTCACGAGGTAGTACTTTGTCAAAGTTCAGGAGCTTTCAGGGGTGGGACTTGGGCGCTGAACATGTTGATTGGTTGAGTTCTTGCCGCATTTTATTTCAACCACCATTTTGTTGCGGTGCGTGCATTAACATTTGTTTGCTAATCGATTCAACAATAGGTTTTTTAAAAATATGACAGATGGACCGACGACGAGGTTCAGGCTTTATTAAGCTAATAAGCGGAGGACGAAATCCAGCGGGAACTAGAAAGTTGCGCGCAGTCCCACATCACTGGACTATTTGCGTAATCTTTATGGTACTTTAGACCCAGTGGAAACGCAGACAGCAACAGGTCTGGGGGGGAAAGTTCCTGGGACAAATTGTTCCGGGTAATTTCGGTGGAAACGCGGCTATAGGCCCAAACTCTCCACAAAAAAAAAAAAGAAACGTCCTCTTACAACTGCTTTTTGTCCAGCAAATTTCTTAACATGTTTAAATATGTGTACGAACATAAAAAGATTGGACAACTGAGACATAAACTGAACAAGTCACAGACATTTGACGAAGAGAAATGGAATAACGAGTCCCTGAACTAAGGAGGGGTCAATATCAAAAGTAGCAGTCAGCGTTTCCAATTAATTACCTAGACTCTGGCGGCTCAACATGGTCTAATCTGTGCCGCCACAGTTTCATAATGAACCAAAAATATTTTAAAACGTCTCATTATATCACAAAAGTTCTCTAACGTTGTTTTGCACCATTGCTTTGGCAAAGTATTTGTCAAACGAACTAAAATGGAAAGCGTGTTATGGCTTTGTGCCCTTATCAAATCGCAAAAGACTGTGATTTAATTTAATAAGTGTATAGCTGGTTTGCGCTGCATGTTTCAAAGTGAAGTGCAGACGTTGCTCACGCGATGTGACGGGCACCAGTTACACATTCATTTATTCACATGTGTACTATTTCCAACATTATTGTGGGGAGATGATTACAGCATTTCACTAGATTTGTAGATTTCTAGATTAGATTTGATTTGTTAAGAGAATTGATTGTCTGACGTAGTCATTTCCACATCGAAATCCTGATAATCTATCATATTGGAAAACTGCTGTGTGTGAATTGAGTAAGGGTGAATCTCATGAAAACATGTATGGATCTCATCTCCACCCTTAAAAAAAAAAAATATATATATATATATTTTGCACAAAGTAAATGAAAGACTCATTCATGTTTTGACTTTAATTGGATTCGATCAAGTGAATGAAGCCTTGGTGAACATTAGACTCTTCTTTGAAAAACATAAAAAAATCTTTCAGATCCCAAACTTTTCAATCATAGTATAAATATTTGTATAAATAAATAGTATATACCGGTATATTGACTATAGATATTTTCACTGGCCATGGAAAAGCCCATACCGGTCAACTACTATTCTGTATCTTGTCTAATCTTATAGACCTTGCCAATTTGATTATGATAGTGATGAACAGCCTTCATTATCACTGTTTAACATTTTTCACATATAATTCAGGTCTGTACAAATGAGGAGCAAGAGATACTGCAGCGAGACTCCAACAAAAGTCAAAAGCTCCGTAAAAAACTCATGGGAGGTGAGACATGAAGTGATTGTACAGTGTGTGTTTTCCTTTGACCTGTAGCATTAGCGTGACACTGACAGCCTTTTGTTTTTCTGTGTGGACCCAGAGGGATCTGAACGGGACTATCTGCCCCACCAAGAGGCCAGGATGAAGACTGGTCTGGAAAAAGCCGTAAAGCACAAAGACAAACTTCTGGAGTTTGACAAGAACAGGTCCGCCTGTCCAAATACACTGTTGTGATCAACTGATCATCTAAAGTGCAATGCACTCACAAAGCTTAGATTTTTAGACCACATCCACACGAAGCCAGAGCTGTCCCTATCCAATCTTTTTTTTTTTCTTGTTCTAAATTCGTTTTCGTAAACACGGCGTCGTCTCAAGAAATATATGCGTACACACGAAACCACTGAAAACGACTGAAAACGATGTGGTATATATGCCAGACCAGTATGTGGCGCTGTAATTCTGCCGCAGAGATACACTAAACAAGGAGAAGAAGATGTGGAGCATGCGCATAACCTATATTGCTCACTGTAGTAGCATAGGGGCAGAAGATTTTGCTTTAATAAAGCTAATAGGCTCAGTAGCTTCTGCAGCACGAACACAAGCATATTGCCCGCCATTGTTGCTGCTGTTACGTGTGACGTAGCGGTGTGTGACTTATGCTCACATGTGGTGTGATGACATCATCGTTTCACAAAATGTACGGATTGGCCGTACACACGAAAACGCAAGGGTGTCGGTTTCAGATTTATCCACTCTGGGACCCTATTTAAAAAAAATAGCGGTTTCAGTGTCCCAAAACGCCGGAACCCTCTGGACGAAACGCCAATACGATACTAAATTTGTACGTATACAGCTAAACGCGTCTCCGTGTGGACGGGGCCTTAAAGTGTCATGAAACCCCAGTTTTAGGCCCCATCCACACTACTGCGTTTTAGTTTAGAAACGGATAATTAAAACGAATACGATCTCCGTCCACACCAGCGTTTTGCTGCGTATTAGAATTGATCTCCGTCCACATTAAAACGACTGAAATGCGGATCACGTGACCATTCACCAACACTGGGCATGCGCGTGCCGGCGTAAACACAACTTCATTGATAAAATTATCCCACCATGCTCTGGGTTAACCCCAAACCGACGCTCCATGTACGGTCAACGCCGCCGCTGCACACGGGAATTGTCACAGATCGCTGGAATAATAGCTTGACTCCGGCGCATGTAGGCAGTTATAGCGTTGTAAAATGCAGAATTTACTTGTACAACAGCTGCTAGCAAAGATATACGCCATGACTGATGACACCCAATCATAGAGCCGAGCGTGAGCCTCTACTACGTCATCGTTTCTAAAGTCCTCCGTTTGGACCCGTCTACACTAAAACGCCCTCCGGAGATTCAAAACGAAAAACGTATCGGCAGCGTTTCTAAACTTCTCCGTTTTGGGTCTCCGTTTTTGCCGTTTTAGTGTGGACGGGAGGCGCAAACGTAGCAAAAGGTCTCCGTTTTTAAACGAAAACGCAGTAGTGTGGACGGGGCCTTAGCCTGGTCGTTCACACCTCAGAGTTCAAAAAGTCTCAAGAAATGGGCTTGTAAAGTTATGGAAAAGTGGGAGTGTAGAGGGAAGAGGGAAGACAACAACCAATAAAACACAGACCTGCAACACACTCATTATACAGACACATGAATATTAAAATATGACCACGGAGAGGGAAAAAACAAAAAACGGATGATGCATTTGACAAATTTAACCATTTATAACACGCTCGCAAGAAAGAGGAAGAAATGTGGAAGAACATTTAAAAGGTCTAAATAATAATATATTCATTACATTCAGGAGCACTACAGTCTGAACAAATGACACGCGTCAGTTTAACAGAAAGAATAAAGGCATATTACTTTTTTGTCTATTGTTCTTTGAATAGTCGGTTTGTCTTCTGTGTATCGGAATAATTCCTCCTGTCATCGCGTTCATGATTAGACATACGGCTGTATCAGTGTCCTTATTTGCACATATTTCATTTTAAGAAGATATGTGTGCATGGTTCATGTTTAGAGAACGCATAAATAACCAATTTCCACTTTTTCTATCAAATTTATGAGTGCTTTTAGTATGTTCAGTGATGTGTAGCCTGGACATATCTGTTCACATCTCAAAAAATGTGTTTTGGGGTTTCATGACTGTAACGTTCCACGTGTGTGTGTGTATTGCTCTTTTTCTTTTGTGCTTTTGTTTCTATTCGTTATTCCTAGGTCGTGATCATTGGCTGCTCATCTGACGACACCTTTCAACAATTTGACCTCTTCCCACTTTCTTTTAGTGTTAAGAGGACACAAGTCTTGGATGATGAATCTGATTATTTTGCCACGGACTCGAACCAGTGGCTTTCTCCAGGTGAGAGGGAGGCCTTACGCAAGCGAGACGAGGAGCTCCGGGAGCTTCGACACGCCTCCCACAAAGACCGCAAGATCACACTCGACTTTGCGGGTAGACGAGTGCTGAATGAAGGGGAGAATCTGAGTCCGTACTACCAGAAGTAAGAAGCCAGCTTCATAATTAGTTGTTTCAGTTATTTCATTTTTGATGAATTTTATGCCGGGTTCAGACTACACGATATCAACCCGATTTTGGCGTGATCTGTTTGACGTGGTGATTCGTAAATGACAATGGGTGTCAGAATGCAAGAATTGATAGTTTTATCTCATATAGTGCGTCATCGTGGATGACAACTGATGCCGCATCTGCAACGTTCACGACGCCCTGACAAAAAGACTAGCATGTTTATTTATTTTATTTTTTTAGACCTCCAAAATGGTTTCCGTCACATGTGTATGGAAGCTTGTTTCCGCCACAGAATAAAAAATGAAACAAAAGATAATTGCGACTTATCTCACAATTCTGACTTTTTATCTCAGAATTTCGTGATATAAAGTCAGAATTGTGAGGGAGAAACTCGCGATTCTGAGGTAAAGTCTTTTTTCCCTTAGAATTGGACTTCAATTCTAGTTTATATCTCACAAATATGAGAAAAGATGTCAGAATTGCGAGATATAAAGTCGCAATTGTGTTTATTTCTCTCAATTGTGAGTTTATATCTAACAATTGCGACTTTATATCTCGCAATTCTGACTTTATATCTCGCAATTCTGACTTTATATCTCGCAATTCTGAGAAAATCTGAATTATCTCTCAATCTGAATTGCGAGATGTTAACTTGAAATTGCGAGGAAAAAAAGTCGCAATTATCTTTTAAAAATATTTTATTCTGTGGCGGAAACAAGCATCCATACATCTGTGATGTTGACCAATAGGAGCACAGAAGCTCTACACCTTTAAAACATGATGAAACGAAAAAGAGAGGATGATAATGGTGCTGCTAGGTGTAATTAATTATGCAATAGAGGAAAGGTTCGTGGAGCGATGGCAACAATACTCCTGCCTTTATGAGGATTCCTCGAGGGACGACAACAGAGTTAAAAAAGATAAATGTTGGCGAACAATAGCGGAGGCGTTCAGCAACCCGGTGAGAACTAGAATTAGCATTACGGCTAGTGTAACCGTTGTTAGTAGTGCTGTCAAACGATTAAAATATTTAATCGCGATTAATCGCATTAAAGGAGAACTCCGGCGCAAAATGAACCTTTGGTCTAATTACACATTGTTACCTAGTCAACCGTTATCTGAGATTTGTTTTCATGATTATCGAATGTAAATAGTTTTATCTCTAAAAACAGTTTAGCCTATAAAGCTAGTATATTGGGCATAGTGTAATGACAAATAAAAATCGCTTGTTAATACCACTAACAAGGCTGAAAATAGACCCACACTAACACGGTAGCATAATGAGGGTCCCTACCTTCAAACCGAAGCATTGAGAACTTTGTAAGTGTACAGACAGTTTAATAAGAAGATATTTTAAACATACAGTCAACTTCGTGTATACAGGCAGAAGCCATCTTTGAAATACAGTCTCTACCAGTCGATCTACGAACGCCGATCCAAGTGCGCTGGTGAGAATGATAAGGTGAGCGCGAACAGCAGGCTTGGATCGGCGTTCGTAGATCTACTGGTAAAGGCTGTATTTCAAAGATGGCTTCTGCCTGTATACACGAAGTTGACTGTATGTTTAAAATATCTTCTTATTAAACTGTCTGGACACTGACAAAGTTCTCAATGCTTCGGTTTGAAGGCAGGGACCCTCATTATGCTACCGTGTTAGTGTGGGTCTATTTTCAGCCTTGTTAGTGGTATTAACAAGCGATTTTTATTTGTCATTGATCTATGCCCAATATACTACCGTTATACTAGCTTTATAGGCTAAACTGTTTTTAGAGATAAAACTATTTACATTCGATAATCATGAAAACAAATCTCAGATAACGGTTGACTAGGTAACAATGTGTAATTAGACCAAAGGTTCATTTTGCGCCGGAGTTCTCCTTTAATGTCATAGTCAACTCGCGATTAATCACACATTTTTATCTATTCTAAATGTCTCTTGATTTCTTTTTATCTCATTATTTTTTCTCATTTTAATGCTCTTATCAACACGGAAAAGTGGATCGGCTTGGTTTGAGCAAATGTTTTTTTATTGAAAACAACATTGACATATACTGTTCAATTTCACACTAACATTCTCACTCGGAGCAAATAATCTCTCACACAATTTAACACTGTCCATCAATAAAAGGGTGAAAGAAATACTGACGAGGTCCTGATATTGACGAGGGGGCGGAGAATTCGCATCAGATGTGTGTGTGTGTGTGCTTGGCCATCATCAAGTGGTATTTCAGACTGGATGTGCTGCGATGATGATGATAGCTCAGTTCACAACGACAAAACACACAGATCACTTTGGTCTTGTCAATGGAACCATTTGGCAACTTTTTAAAAGTAAACTTTCCATTCAGAATCTTGTTGGCATCCATTTCGGCGTCTCGCGCTCGTCATCCACTCAAAACGTAACTTTAACCAACTATTTGGCCGGCTCGCAAGCCCAAACAAGTGTGTGCGGCGTCGTGCCTGTTGTTTTGTTTCCGGTCTAGCTAGATCCGCTTGCACTTTCAAAACGTCCTTGCGCAGCGCAAGCCATTGAAATGAATGGGTTTCATAGCGCAGCGCCGCGCATGCCGTGTCCTGTTGCAAAAGCATGTGAAAAAACCTACAAAGTTTGCTAGGCCAAAAAGACCGTTAATCGTGCGATAAAAAAATGAACGCCGTTAAAATGGGTTTGCGTTAACTGACAGCCCTAATTGTTAGTTTACGCTCTTGTTTCCGTAAGTCAGTTGCTAGTTAAAGTCTCTCGATGACATCACACACGTCGTTAAAGACGGCAAACGATGTGCAACATGCGGTCAGACATGGTTCATGTTTTTATAATTCAGGAATCAAAATTGCATAATCTGACTATTGTAACTGACAAAAATATCATGTAGTCTGAACCTGGCATAAAGCTTTCACAGAGCATGTTAGCTTTTTTTTTAGAAGTATTATGCTGTCTTTAAGTGCTCATGGGAGGTTCATACCTAATAATTCAGAAGTCATTATTATGACGTGAGGTGTGTTCAAGCGATTTTTGGTTGGGATAAAATAGACACATTGGTCAATTTCTTTCTTTATTTTCCCAATAATTTTTTTTCCTGCCATGATTTTTTTAATTGACACGTCTCCAACTCAAGGCTCAGAGTCAAGATAAATTAAATATTTGGATGCTGTTTAACCCGATATGATTGCAAAGCACTTTGGGTGTACAGTAGTCCATAGTAAAAAAACGCTTCGTTCTTTCATTTGTTCATTCAAACTATGTTCATATCATAAATAGAATCAATTCGACGTGACTTGAAGGCAGCATTAATTGCAATGCATGATTGGCAAGGTATAATATGAATATAATTTTTTGTTTGCAAAAGGTTTGACGATACAGTCAAGGACATTCACACTGGTTCTTTTGGTCGGACATCAAAACATTCAGTTTCCACTGATCGACCGCACCTCAGAGAGCTTGTCAACCCCAATATAGTACAGGCCGCGCCAGAGGTGGGTGCAAATAATCTGTTTTTGAAGAGCTTATATTTATATAATAAATTATATTTATCATTTAGTTCACCCAAAAATTAAAATGAGCCCATGATTTACTCGCCCTCAGGCCATCCTAGGTGTATATGACTTTCTTCTGTCAGACGAATACAATCAGAGTTATATTAAAAAATGGTCCTGGCTCTTCCGAGCTTTATAATAGCAGTATAATTGGCCGGAAGCTAGTTATTTTACTTTATAAAGTTTTAAATATGAATATTTTTAAAACGCATCGCTTCGCTTCAGAAGGCTTTTTTTAATAACCCCCCCGGAGCCGTGTGGAGCACTTAGTGGATAGATGCACTTTTATGATGGATAGATGCACTTAAATGATGGATAGATGCACTTTTATGATGGATAGATGCATTTTAATGATGGATAGATGCACTTTTATGATGGATAGATGCATTTTAATGATGGATAGATGCACTTTTATGATGGATAGATGCATTTTAATGATCGATAGATACACTTTTATTTGATGGTTAGAAGCACTTTTATGATGGATAGATGCACTTTTATGATAGATAGATGCACTTTTATGATGGATAGATGCATTTTAATGATGGATAGATGCACTTTTATGATGGATAGATGCATTTTAATGATCGATAGATGCACTTTTATTTGATGGTTAGAAGCACTTTTATGATGGATAGATGCACTTTTATGATGGATAGAGGCACTTTTATGATGGATAGATGCATTTTAAGGATGGATAGATTCACTTTTATGATGCATAGATGCACTTTTATGATGGATAGATGCATTTTAATGATGGATAGATGCACTTTTATGATGCATAGATGCACTTTTATGATGGATAGATGCACTTTTATCATGGATAGATGCAGTTTTATGATGGATAGAGGCACTTTTATGATGGATAGATGCACTTTTATCACGGATAGATGCACTTTTATCATGTATAGATGCAATTTTATGGACTTCAAAACAAAAACAGCAATTCACCGCCATTATAAAGCTTGGAAGAGCCAGGACATTTATTAATTTAACTCCGATTGTATTCGTCTGATAGAAGGTCATATACACCTAGGATGGCTTGAGGACGAGTTAATCATGGGCTAATTTTCATTTTGGGGTGAACTGTCCCTTTAAAGCCAGTTGTATATGAGTTGCATCTGTGTACATGTCTATTCATTCATGTGTGTTTGTGTTGTGTCAGTGGGTTGACGTGGCCTGTAGCGACTCCTCACGCAAGTCTTCTTCAAAGGCTGTGAGTAATACACAGAAAAGTGAGCGCAGCCGACTCAGACTGCAGGACAAAGAGCTTCAGGAGATGTCAGATGGAGGCTGGTGCCTCAGCATGCATCAGCCATGGGCTTCACTGCTTGTTAAGGGCATAAAAAGGTACAGTTCACTTGAAGACGCCATGAAATCATAAATTACATCACTCCCTGCTCAAGGGGTCTAAAATGAGAATATTCTTCCCCCTAAATTATAAATACCACCTCCGTCTGTCTAGCAATAGCGAGAAGTAAATAGTTTTGACATGTTATGTAAACTTAGAATGCACCTATAAATAAGATTGGAGTCGGGACTATAGCAATATTTCAATATTTTCACATTATGGCTGTACTATTTTGTGTAAACAAATTTTAAGTATATCAAAAAAAGTTGTACAACCGACTCGAGTTAGTTTAAAGATGAAGCATTTCGTTTCTGTGAAACTAGTGTCACCTAGTGGAGTTACAAAAATAAAGCATATTTTCAAACAACCTTGCAAACACCACTTTCGCGCGTTGCACCTCCCCCAACTTAAGCATCACAAACACAGCTCTATGGGTGCTTGTGAAGGCATGTATTAACAGGTAAACCCCAAACCCTCCTCCTGCTACATTAGCCACGCCCCAAACCCTCCTCCTGCTATAGTAGCCACGCCCCCAAACACTCACCCTGCTACATTAGCCACGCCCCAAACCCTCCTCATGCTACAGTAGCCACGCCCCCAAACCCCCTCCTGTTACAGTAGCCACACCCCAAACCCTCCTCCTGCTACAGTAGCCACACCCCCAAACCCTCCTCCGGCTACAGTAGCCACGCCCCAAACCCTCCTCCTGCTACAGTAGCCACGCCCCCAAACACTCACCCTGCTACATTAGCCACGCCCCAAACCCTCCTCATGCTACAGTAGCCACGCCCCCAAACCCCCTCCTGCTACAGTAGCCACACCCCAAACCCCCCTCCTGCTACAGTAGCCACACCCCAAACTCTCCTCCTGTTACAGTAGCCACACCCCAAACCCCCCTCCTGCTACAGTAGCCACACCCCAAACTCTCCTCCTGCTACAGTAGCCACACCCCAAACCCCCCTCCTGCTATAGTAGCCACGCCCCAAACCCTCCTCCTGCTATAGTAGCCACGCCCCCAAACATTCACCCTGCCACATTAGCCACGCCCCAAACCCTTCTGCTGCTACAGTAGCCACACCCCAAACCCTCCTCCTGCTACAGTAGCCACGCCCCCAAACCCCCTCCTGTTACAGTAGCCACACCCCAAACCCTCCTCCTGCTACAGTAGCCACACCCCAAACCCCCCTCCTGCTACAGTAGCCACACCCCAAACCCCCCTCCTGCTACAGTAGCCACACCCCAAACTCTCCTCCTGTTACAGTAGCCACACCCCAAACCCTCCTCCTGCTACAGTAGCCACACCCCAAACCCCCCTCCTGCTACAGTAGCCACACCCCAAACTCTCCTCCTGCTACAGTAGCCACACCCAAAACCCCCCTCCTGTTACAGTAGCCACACCCCCAAACCCTCCTCCTGCTACAGTAGCCACGCCCCAAACCCTCCTCCTGCTACAGTAGCCACACCCCAAACCCCCCTCCTGCTACAGTAGCCACACCCCAAACTCTCCTCCTGCTACAGTAGCCACGCCCCAAACTCTCCTCCTGCTACAGTAGCCACCTCCCCAAACCCTCCTCCTGCTACACTAGCCACACCCCAAACTCTCCTCCTGCTACAGTAGCCACGCCCCAAACCCTCGTCCTGCTACAGTAGCCACGCCCCCAAACTCTCCTCCTGTTATAGTAGCCACCTCCCCAAACCCTCCTCCTGCTACACTAGCCACACCCCAAACTCTCCTCCTGCTACAGTAACCACGCCCCCAACCCCTCCTCCTGCTAAAGTAGTCACGCCCCCCCAAACCCTCCTCCTGCTACAGTAGCCACGCCCCAAACCCTCCTCCTGCGATAGTAGCCACGCCCCAAACCCTCCTCCTGCTACAGTAGCCACACCCCAAACCCTCCTCCTGCTACAGTAGCCACACCCCAAACCCTCCTCCTGCTACAGTAGCCACACCCCAAACCCTCCTCCTGCTATAGTAGCCACGCCCCAAACTTTCCTCCTGGTCCAGTAGGCACTAGCTGAAAGATATTGACTGATCTGTGTGGACCGCTCTCAATGTTTTTATGGTGCCTGGAAGACTCAATCTTTACACTTTTGAGGGAGATAAACTCATGAATGGCATATTGCCTGGGTATAAACAGGTTAAGAGAATGTATTTAACAAAATTGTACTTATTTAACCTTTATATAACACTTATTTGGGCCGATAACTGGATGTGACACTAAATATTGTGCATTTCAAATGTGAAATAAAGGATTCAGACTGAAGAAAAACGTAAGCACTTTGAGATGCCCCATTCCCACTTCCTGTTCATTTACATACATTGCTTTGTGTCAAACCATTTAATGTGATCCATCTTTTCATCTCTGATATGTAGAGCTTTTGTTTGTAGCTCACCTGAATGTTTCCCATTTTCTCTCCATTTGTTGTGTTTGTGTAGGGTTGAAGGCAGAACATGGTACACGTCCCATAGAGGGCGCCTGTGGATCGCAGCCGCTGCTAACCGAGCAACTCCTCAAGAGATCGCAGGGGTGGAGGCCATGTACCGGCAGATTTACAGAGACCGTATGTTTGCAGATTTATAACAGTAATACTAGACCTTTATATGCTTTTAGGTACTGTACAGTATGTACAGTAACACTTTACAATAAGGTTCATTAGTTAATGTATTAAGTAACATGAACTGACAATGAGCAATACATAATCTTTGTTAATGTTAGTTAAAGGGGTCATATAATGGTACATGCACTTTTACAAGTTGAATACTGAAATGTGTGTTGGCAGTGCCTGTACACAACCATCATATAATGATAAAAATCCATCCAGTGGTTTTGTTTTAATCTCCTTATATGTTTTCCCCTGCCTCAAATCGAGCCGTTCGTTTTTGTGACGTCAATAAAACGGACGCCCCTCCCACGATTGTTGATTGACGGGAGCGTTTCAACACAGACCCGCCCTCGCACATGAGGGAGCTGTCAATCATAGTCTGCGCGGCACGGACCGGACCGGCGCGCTCATTGTTGATATGCTGGAGCACTGTCTATGAGCAGAATGGCGTCTAAGCGATTGTGGTGTTCTGTTCTTGGGTGTAATAACGAACACAGTCATTTTAATGTTCCTGAATCCGAACCGCTGAAGACGCAGTGGCTGAGTTTGTTTTCGAAGGGAATATTCCCCACGAGCAACGTCAATGCTCTCATGTTTGCGCGAATCATTTCACACCAGACTGCTTTATAAACGAGGGTCAGTATAAAGCTGGATTTGCTAAGAAGCTTTGCTAAAAAGGATCGGTCCCAGATATTCGTGTTCCTGCTGAACCTCCAGAAGAACGGAAGTGAGTGAAACGTTTTATTAAACTTTATATTAATATATTAATCTTTGCAAATCGCTAGCTGCACGCTTCACAATGAATGCGTCTAAGGTTTACACTCAGGGTACATTACGGCATGTTTTCTATGTATGACGTTCTCAATATAATTCATAATTCCACGTTTATACTGAACAACGCGTTATGGTTATTGAGTTATTGTGTTACAAACGGTGTATGCACAGCACAGAGGGGTGGAGTCAGCAAAGCTCATGATCATTTAAAGTCATATGCACTGAAACGGCGTGCTGAAAACAGAGCTGTTTTTGACCAGGTAAAATAAGTGTTTTCTTACAATACTAATGAGAATTTTTAATAAAAGTATATTACAAACTTTTAATTTAGACCCTAAAGAATCATATTAGCTTGTACAAAAATGGCATTATATGACCCCTTTAATAAAAATCCAGCTGTTCATTGTTTGTTCATGTTAGTTCACAGTGCATAATGTTAACAAATACAACCTTTGACTTTAATAACATATTAGTAAATGCTGAAATTAATATTAACTAAGATTAATAAATGCTGTAGAAGTATTGTTCATTCTTAGTTCATGTTAACTAATGTATACTAATGAACCTTATTGTAAAGTGTTACAATTTGACCTAACTTGGTTATTATTATTTTATTAAGAAAAGCATCTCAAGCACAGTACAAGCATCAGATTGTTGCATAATTAAATGGAGGGAAAAAAGCAAAAAAATAAACATGCATAATAAATGCTCACATACGAATGAACATATAATCACAGTAATATATGCATATTAGGGCTGTCAGTTAAATGCGTTATTAACGCCGTTAACGCAAACCCATTTTAACGGCGTTAATTTTTTTATCGTGCGATTAACGGTCTTTTTGGCCTAGCAAACTTTGTCGTTTTTTCACATGCTTTTGCAACAGGACACGGCATGCGCGGCGCTGCGCTATGAAACCCATTCATTTCAATGGCTTGCGCCGCGCGCACGTTTTGAAAGCGCAAGCGGATCTAGCTAGACCGGAAACAAAACAACAGGCACGACGCCGCACACACTTGTTTGGGCTCGCGAGCCGGCCAAATAGTTGGTTAACGTTACGTTTTGAGTGGATGACGAGCGTGAGACGCCGAAATGGATGCCAACAAGATTCTGAATGGAAAGTTTACTTTTAAAAAGTTGCCAAATTCCATTGACAAGACCAAAGTGATCTGTGTGTTTTGTCGTTGTGAACTGAGCTATCATCATCGCAGCACATCCAGTCTGAAATACCACTTGATGATGGCCAAGCACACACACACACACACACACACACACACACACACACACACACACACACACACACAGCTGATGCGAATTCTCCGCCCCCTCGTCAATATCAGGACCTCGTCAGTATTTCTTTTACCCTTTTATTGATGGACAGTGTTACATTGTGTGAGAGATTATTTGCTCCGAGTGAGAATGTTAGTGTGAAATTGAACACAGTATATGCCAATGTTGTTTTCAATAAAAAACATTTGCACAAAGCAAGCCGATCCACTTTTCCATGTTGATAAGAGCATTAAAATGAGAAAAAATAATGGGACAAAAAGAAATCAAGAGACATTTAGAATAGATAAAAATGTGCGATTAATCGCGAGTTAACTATGACATTCATGCGATTAATCGCGATTAAATATTTTAATCGTTTGACAGCACTAATGCATATACATATAAACAACTAAATAAACCAGAAACAAATATAAATAAATACGCTATTTTGCTGTCCAGAGCCCCAGTTTCCTGCGGAGTATCCCACCGGCTGTCTGTTGGGCTGCGTGAACGTCACAGAGTGTCTCTCTCAGGAGCAGTTCAGGGAACAGGTCAGTGGCTTCTGGAGTCCCTGTTGGCATTCATCCATACAAAACATTCTGTTTATATTAAAGGGTTAGTTCACCCAAAAATGTACATTCTGTCAGTAATTACTCTCCCTCATGCCGTTCCAAACCCGTAAGACTTTCGTTCATCTTCGGAACACAAATGAAGATATTTTTTGATGAAATTGGAGAGCTTTCTGTCCCTCTATTGACACCTCTATCCATTTTTTCCCATTGAAAATAATAATTCCTGATATTTATCATTATTTTTCAATTCTTCATATATTTTTGTTCAATAATATATATTTTTTTTTTGTATTTCGAGATAATTTTATGGTACTAATTCATATTTATCCAATAATTATGATAAATTTTTTCCCCATTGAAATAAAAAAATCATTATTTTTCAGTTAATGCAGTATTTCAGGTTTGAATAGAGACTAGGCCTTTAAAATCCAATTTTTAAAGGCAGATTTGGCAAATCTGGTGAGAGTAAATAAAGAAAAATATGTAATATTATGGTGTAACCACTAGATGCCTGTAGAGCTCTCTATAGAATGGCTTGTGAATTTGTTTTTGGACATATTTGCTTTTTTTTTTTAAGGTTGTGGATTTGAATATATATTTAGACATTCTCAAATACTGCTTTTTGTCAAGGTTTATATATATATATATATTTTTTGTGTGTGTTTTAAGGCATCATACCTCTTTGTATATACACTTTTCATAGACAACATTTTTCATACACTTACCCATTTTGCAAATGCTTACAGAGAAATACTGGGCATCACACACTGGGGATCAGACCTTCCGAACACGACATACTCGCACAGAAACAAATTGGGAGGAGTCAGTGCAAAAGTAATAGTGTTTTCTATCCTCTACCCCACAACAACATTGCCTACTTTTGGGCCAAGACTTAGAGAATATGAATCCAAATCCATAGAGAAATTGAAACCCTGAGAAATATTCACTGGAGTAAATAGCATTTAACAAAATATCACATAACCAACCAAATGTTTCACAAAAAGAGGTTATAAAGCAATAGATATACTGTTAAAATGGGGAAATGGATTAAATGAAATGTTAGTGGATCATGTTCATAGTTAATGTGTTGAACTGCGGGTAGGTGAGCTTGAGGAGAACTTCATGCATTCACTAAAACACTAGTACCGGTAGGTTTAACCCTTTAACTGTCACCCCCCCCCCCCTTTTTTTTTCTCGCATAGACATAAAAATCATTATCCAAACTTAAATGGATTGTAATTCAAGAATGCTTTGGAATATAGACATATGGTCTTGTTTTATAGAAGACATTTGCCATATTATTGTAGAAGTGAAATTAATGATGTAAGTGAAACAGAAAAAAGTTATATAAGTTTGAGTTTATGAACATGTACAATGTAAAAATATAATTTATTTATATTTTATATAAAATATATATATTACAAAATATATTTTACTCTTAAACTGCAAGAAAATGAAAGCCAAAAATCTGAACAAATATCAGTTTTTTTTATTGTTTTATTTAATTTTTTTTGCTATGGGCGCAGTAGCAAACCTTTAGATGGTCAGCCAAGCTTCCTTACTGACCATATAAGGGCGCCTCCATTTTCATATATGTTTTGAGTGATCTGAACTATGTATTTCCATAATTTTCATACAATTTATGAGGTAGACATCCTATTTAGAAGTAGTATGGGTGGTTTGGCAGTATTTAAAAAGAGCAAATATGTCCGTTATAGCTCGCAGCCGCATCACAAATCGAGAATCCATAATATTTGTCTTTATTTAAAACCTTTTTTTTCTCATAAAATTGAATTCGTGTTATCTTTCGAACTCGTAGCATGAAAACAAACTGAGGTTTTTACCAATCTCTCATGATTTTTCATGTTTATTACTACTTCAAAATAAAGGCGTAAACAAGCCTAATGAGGGAAATATTCTTGTTGCTAATTGATGAATTACTGCTCTGTAATTTTTTTTTTTTTTAAACAGCCACCAAATATGAAAACTATAGATTGCAAGCTTTCAAATGATATATAGTTTGTCAATATTACTTAAGGTTTTGACTAAGATATTATTGTTTTAAATATATAATGGCAGGTGGGACGGTGACAGTTAAAGGGTTAAAAAGAAAAACTATAAAATTAAATGGAAGTGTTTCTAAGAATCTGAGTAAAGGTCTTGCATCAATTGTTTGCAGTTGGCGCTTGGTTTGATATGTATTTTGTATCAGTGACATTCAGAAATGTTTAAGTGTGACTTTAATGTCCACATATGTTTTAGTGCCACTGTATATATGGTCATCATCCTAAAACGGCAAGATGTGACAAGTTAAAAACAGTTTGCGTCTGTGGATTCTGTCTGACTGATTTTGAATTTAATAACATCTCTTGTGTGTGTACAACCCCTTAGGCTTTACATGAAGCAACATGATTTAAAAGCCATTAAAAACAGATCAGATTGTATGAAGCTGTTGAGTAGAAGATATACCCACACCTGTGCCCGCACTTCGCTTCAGGTTTATTCTGGTACTGATTTGGGTCACCGCATGACATAGGCGTAATTCTATGGGGGGACAGGGGGACACGGGGACACGACCCCCCCAATATTCAACAAAGGGCAATTTGTCCCCCCCAATATTTGATCATATTTGGGGCGCGTTTCCATTACAGATTTGCGCAAAACTTTTGCGATATTTTCTAAATGTCGATAAAAAACTATTGCGAAATGACGGCGTTCCATTAACCGATGTTATGCGACTAAAACGTCTTTTTTTCCTCTCGCGATCAGTCATTCCAAAAATCATGGCAACGGACGTTGGTAGGTTTATAGCCTCTATCACAGCCACCGCATAGACATTATTATTATTAATGGAAGGAGACGTGGCGTGTTATCCAAGCGTTAATGGCAGGGAAAGACACGGAGTTCCTGGGTGTTTCTCCCTTATTGTTTATTTTATGAATTCAATAAAGAACTCTGTCTCGTATTGTGTCCAAACGGTCAGTGTACTTGCATTCATTTTTCTTATTTAACCAGCAAAGGTGAACACCAATATTTTAGTTTGACCTGTAGGCCTACACCAAATGCTGCACAAAAAAATAAAAAAATAAATAATATATATATATATATATATATATATATATATGAGAGAGAGAGAGAGAGAGAGAGAGAGAGAGAGAGAGAGAGATGAATTTTCTGATATTTGTTTATGACTTTTTGCCCCTTTATTAAACATTTAAAATATTCACAAATTAATATGGAGAAAAAAATGTAGATTTTACTGGTTTTCTAAGGCCAAATTAGAACCTGGAAATTATATTTTTCCCGCAGTGCTGAATGAGAAGAGCCATAACCACAGCCTACAGAAAGGGGATGTATAGGTGAGTTAGGCTATAATAAATGTGTCTGAAAAAATAACGAGGCATTTTAATTGTTTATTAATAAACTATTGTTTTCCTAAATCAGTGTCGGCTAAAAACATATCTCCATCTCCGGATGCACCTTTAGAGAGAATGCACCTTTCATACGGATTACATAATCAGAAGGTATTAGCTATCGATTCGAATTTGTTCCTTTTAAAGTGGACATTTAAAGCTTCAGTCTACAAAGGCTAGCCTATCAGTTCTCGCGCTTCAGTTCACGGAGATCATGAAAGCGCGCCTGATTGTTTTATTTTATTTTACAAAAGCACATCGTTTTCTTGTTATTGTGAGATTACGCAAATAAAAGTAGTTGCGAATAATGTATTATTATATTCTGTATGACCAGAAATGATAGAGTATTTTAAGTTGTTTCGACTGTTGATAGGAAAATGCAAGTGTTCGCGCCCACGCCTCGCCATCCAGTGCGCGCTCCACACCCAGTCCGCACACACACTTGGATATGCGTCAAAATCTTGTGTTTATTTGTGATAATCTTAGCCCTATTATTATTGTCCAACCTGTATTATGAATGAAATGTGACGAATTGCTTTGTTCCTTTTTTGGATAAAAGCGTCTTCTACATATTATAAATGTTATAATAATGATGATAATTATTATTATTATTTGCGGACACGGACCCAAAACACACCGCGTATTCTAAGTCAGGTGACTGTAAATGCGCAAAACCCGTTTCCATTGCAGTTTTGCGAAATATTCCTTTTTCAAATTGCCTGAAAAGCCTCCTCATGCGAGCGTAAAAACTTTATTGGGATAAACGGGAGTTTTTGCGAAATGGACGTGTTTCCATTGTGCGCATTTTCATTAGGCTACGCAATTTCAATTTGCGCAATTTGAAGGGTAGCCTAATGGAAACGCGGCTTGTATGATTATGCGGGCAGGGCCAGATGTGATTGCAAATAGCCTACGTCTTTCTTCCCAGCTCCGAAAATGTAAAATCCCGGCCGGTCCATTTCCCAAATCCATTCGGACTTGCCTTACACTATACATTTAGCAAAACCTATTTCTCCTGAAATCCATGTCATGTTTTCCTATCCCTAGTGCATCGTCAGTGAGTTAGGAAAAACCAAACAGAAAAAGAGTTAGGAGGAGCGCGGAAATTGACAGACATTTGGCACATAGGCTATCTATGAATGGTAAATATCCTGTTATCCTGTAACCGTAATTTAATCAAAATGTTTATAGCCACTATATGTTTATAGAAGAATATAAGAGAGAGAGATCACTGACCGCTTTGTTGTCAATTCAGGCCTGTAATTGATGCCGATGCTGTAATCATTGTGAGTAGGCTATACGTTGGTTTGACGATCAGATGTAATAAAATTCCTTGTTGTGTTATACAATTACAAACATTCGGACTCTGACTTTTATTTTATTTTGATTAAAAAAATGTGTGCATGCGCCAACACAAAAAGTTCCACAGCTGTCCCCCCCAATGTGTGATTGACAATTTCGCCCTTGCCGCATGAAATCAAATATAAAATTTGGGTGCCTTTTTTTTGTCTTGATGAATTTAAATTAGGGCTGTCAAACGATAAATCGCATCCAAAATAAAAGTTT